TGGCGCGCGCAAAAAAGAAAAAAAAAAATAAAAAATAAACCGTCCCTCGGGGAGAACTCGTTTCTTATCGAAAATTCGATGTCGATACGAGTGCCTAGCGTGCCGACAAGTGCCGCGTGCTATTGCACCGCGTTTCACGCACGTCTACGTCGTCCACGATGACGAGAATGGTGATCTCTGATGGGTTGCATCATGGGGAGATTGTAACGTTGGCAGGTTAGGTTAGGCGTATAAAAGGTTGTGTGAGAAGTTTCTGCCATCTTCTTGGCTCGTTAATCCTTTTGTCGTTGCATGATTCGAAACGAGGATCTTCGATTTGGAACGATGTGTCGAAATAATATTTATCTAAATATTAGTTATTTAGATAAATATTTATTTTTGAAAAAAATTTCATTTAAAGAGGATCGTCTATGTATATGTAGAATAAATATGTATTGCATTATAATTGCTTCTATTTGAGATTATTTTTACGACTTCTTTGCAATTGGAAATAATAATCTGAAATAAATTCGTGAATAACATGATTTTAATAATATTCGTGTTATAATAAGTGTTTATCACAAAATTTGTATGTAAATATTCTCGATATAAATAACGAGAAATTAATTTTGAGAATCCAAAAATGGTAGAATCCGCCTCTTCCTTCGAACGTTATGTATGAATGCTTAAATTAATAAAAATGAATATATGTTTCACATATTGGATCGTAATATCTCTTCGTCTCGATGTTATTTGACGAGTTAATTATCACATGGAATTGCTGTCAAAGAAAATGGATTATTCGTTGATCGATGCGTGGCAAAGATATGAAAATTTTTTTAATTGATGTCCGCGGGGCGAAAGTGTTTTCGTGAAAGTTAAAAAATGTTGACCAACATTTCTCTTCTTCTCGATCAGTGACGATTATTTTGGGATATTAATTTATTTAAAAAAACTTCACTGTCAACTTATTGATCATCAAATCGAATAACTGTCTATTACTCGAATGGTAAATAATCAATCATCATCGTTTCTCTGTCGATAAAAATGTTAAAAGGAGACAAAATGTTAAAAAACAATCGATACGATGTTTAAGATTTGCACAGATATAGATGCACGATTCTCTTTTTAATATAAATACACGCTGTTTACCTTATCTGGTTCAAAAGCGAGGAGGAAAAAATATTTCGCAACTTTTTCTTATTTTGTGATGTGCATAAATGAGACACGTATAAGAGAATGTTTTCATGAGAGACAAATTTAAAAAAAATAAATTAATTAATTGACAATTTAAAATGTTGATTCGATGAATAAAAAAAGACATATTGATTACAGTGCAATTACTTAATTACGTTACACTCGGGAAAATTCATTGATCAATTAGAATCGGGAAAAATCGAAGCAAAAATATAAGAATCTTTAGACAAATGCAGAAGAAATAATATTCATTTCACAAAAAGGCAATATTTCGTGACAGGAAAAATATTTTTTATATTGTTTTTTCGATTTTACAATTATACTTAACTCTTTAAATTATCTTTATTATGCAATACATATATTTCGTACGAAAAATAAATTTATTTGCAATTCAATGATTTACTTTTCACTTCATAAATTGTCCATTATTTGCTATTATTATTTTGATCTTGATAAAAAAACTTCTTAAATTAATCGTTTAATTTATATATATTATATTTACTATTCACGTTCCAAAAAGATCATTCTCGAACAATATATATCGTATGATAGAATCAGCGAAACAATATCGTTCTCGACTTCGACTCGCCTCGAGCATAGGCTCGAACAAAAGCGACGAACGAGAGAAGCAGCGAAGAGAGCCAAGAAGAAGAAGAAGAAGAAGAAGAAGGAGAAGAAGGAGAGAGAGATCGGTTCGGATCGGTTGAGCGGATCGCGCGGGTCGTCCTCGTGCTGGTCGCGCGTCATGGCGTGTGCTCGCCGCTTCTTTTTTCCCCTGATCTTGACTCCCCTGCACCCGCTTTTGACACGATGGGCCAGGGGCCACGGGTGTAGCGCAGGGGTAAAACAGTAGTAGGAGAGAAGCAGAGGCAACGACAGAGCGGCAGCACACCCGAGAAACCCCCTTCCATCCCTCCCCGCGAGAGTGCGTGCAGGTGTGCACGAAAAGGTCCTCTCCTGCGCCTTCTCCGGCACCAACGAAGGGGCCCCCCTGCGCCACTCGACCATGCGCACACACAAATACCTACAGGAACAACCGTGTACCGTATATACACACACACAGAGACGCGGAGACGCGTGGAGGGAACCTGTGCCGGGCCCAACAGGCCCCCAGATCTGTGGGAACTGTTCGGCCCGCGAGCTTCCCACGATACGCTCCGGCTGCTGTGCTGCAGGGTTCACTCGTGCGTTTCCTCCCCTTCCGTCTCCCCTGCCCGACACCCCTCTACCCGCCACCAGTCCCCTGACTGGCGTGGAAGGGGCAGCGGGTGGGACAGTTGGTGGGGGGAAGCGGTCGAGAGTATAAGTAGCCACTCGGTCCCCACCAGCCACTCAGAATCGACGTGAACACGGCATCGTGCGCTGGTCTCGGCACTCCGAGAACACACACGTTATATATATATATATACACTATCTTACAACGCATATCCAACGCGTTTTTGAGTTATCATCATTATCATTATTATTATTATTATTATCATCGTTTTGAATTGGAACATTTCGAGTTTCTCGAATACGTTCCACCCATTGGAAGAACACGGGCTTTGTTTGTGACAAGTGGAAAGTGAGGAGAAGTAATCTGACAAACGATGGCACCGCATACCAGCTACACGCCTGTCAGTGGTATGGAGTACGAGGAGCCTGTGTCGAGGACTTACCAGTACAGAAAGGTGATGAAACCGATGTTGGAGAGGAAGAGGCGGGCAAGGATCAATCGTTGCCTGGACGAGCTGAAGGATCTGATGGTGACCGCGCTTCAGGCCGAGGGGGAGAACGTGGCCAAGTTGGAGAAGGCTGACATTCTCGAGCTCACTGTCCGCCACCTTCACACGCTCAGGGCTGCCAGGAGGCTCACCCTCACGCCGGAGAACAGCTACGCGGACAGATTCAGGGAGGGGTTCACCCAGTGCGCCCAGGAAGTGTCCTCGTTCCTGTCCACCCCTGTCGCTGCCGCCGTACACCCTGCTGCCGGTGCACAATTGATGAGACACCTCGGCGGTTGCCTTCGAAGACTCGAAGGAACATCCTCGGCCAGTCTTGGGACCACCAACAATAACAACACCACCACCACCACCACCACTACCTCCTCCACCACCGTCGCATCCACCACTGTGAACACTGTGAGCAAGACGACACCAGCCGTCAGTCCAACCACCAACGTGATGATCAACGTACCCCAGAACGTTTACACGCCTCCCCAAAGCCCTGTCAGTGTGGCGAGTTCGTCCGGGGAGTCTATGGAGTCGTCGAATCCTGTTTGGAGGCCTTGGTGATTTGGATGAAGTTCGATAATTTTTGAAGACTTTGAACTTTGACAAGCTAATTCAACTTCCGTTCCTCTCTGGTGAAGAAGAAGCTTCGCTGTGTGTGGCAGCAGCGAATGGTAGAGGGGAGAAAACGACGAATCATTTGTCTTCCATACGTTGAAAATTGTTGAACCTCGTTCGAGGTGTTCGATAATTATAGATTGATGTAATCGTTTTTTTTTAAGTAATTAATCGTAATTGGGACCACTGTTTTCTCGAGATGCTACATTTCTATGTCTCTCTCTTTCTCTTCCTTTCTCTCTCTCTCTCTCTCTCTCTCT